AGAGTGAACAGAAAGAAAAAGAAACAGGTGCAGAATATATTTTGGAAGCCAAAAAATTTTTAAAGTTTCAAAAAGAAATTAGCAAGAGAGCAAGCAAAGATGGAAACAGGTTGCCAAGCCACATGATTGCTGAAGAAGAAGCTGACGAGACAAGGACCTTCCTCCAGAAGTGACCGCAGAAGCCTTCCCTTTGAACTGGCACCCCAAATTTGAACTCCTACCCTCTTCAACTGGAGCCCTGGTGTGGCACTATAGGATAAGCATTGGACTGCTAACCTCAAGGTCAGCAGTTTAAACCCACTAACCATGCTTCAAAAACCCTATACAGGGTCACTATGAGTCAAAATGGACTCAACGGCACTTAACAAACTGTGAGAAAATTAATTTCTGCATGTTAAAGTCATCTATGGATGCATTTCTGTTAAGATGCACATGATAACAAAGACAGAAGCTTTCCTGAACAAGGGAGATTTTAAGTTGAGACCTGAAATATGAGTAGGAATTAGCTAGTAAAGGAGATAGGAAAGAGTACTGCCTACCAAATTTACCTTGTATTTTGCTGTCTTCATGCCTGTGATCGCTGCCCCTTCCCCCAGAATGCTTTTCATTTCTGCCTATGGAAATGCTCCGTGCTTTTCCACACCCCAAAACCAAACACACTATCCAGTCCCTTCCACTCATAGTGGCCCTGCAGGACAGAGTCGGATTGCTCCTTAGGGTTTCCAAGACTGTAAATCTTTATGGGAACAGACAGCCTCATCTTTCTCCCCCAAAGCAGCTGGTGGGTTTGAACCGCTTACTTAGCGTCTGACAGCCCAATACTTAACCCACTATACTACCAGGGCTTCTGACATGCCTTTCGGGCCCAGATAAAATGTGAGCTCGCCAGCTGAAAGCAGTTTCTTCTTTATAATCCCACAGCACTCAGTTTTGATTTTCCATTGGCACTTCTCACTTTTTCCTGCATTATCTGAATATTTCTACACACAGCTTATCTTTTCTAGTAGGTCTTCAACTTATTAAAGACAGAGTCAGTGTCTCATTCTTCTTTGCGATCTCAAAGGCTGACATGTTCCTAAGACTTAGAAGTCCTGGAACAAATATTTGTAGCATAAATTAATGCCTGTTTGACATCCATTTTCAAATATGTTGTAATTCAAATAAAGCAATTGTTGTAAGCCATGCCTTTGGGACAACTTACTCTTTGGTAAAACCAGAATGCTATAGTCATGGTCCCCATGATGATTAGCGCTCATTACAATAACCCTAACAAACAGGCCACTGTTCCTGAATGACCGGCATTTGGCAACAACCACTGGTTCTCAAGTATAGGCTGAAATGAACTGAGGAAGGACTGTTTGAATTGAGAGTCGCCAGCCAGTGGGGCTCTATTTATCCTTTACAGCTGATCCATGTTTTGCTCTGGTGTGAGGCAGGACTGTATGTAGGTGGCAGTGAGGCTCTGGGGCATTCCAGGGTGACAGAAACACTTACCCTTGGAAAAAAATCATCAAAAAAGCACTATCAGTTGAAATATCCTAATATGAGGCGATGTGATAACAAAAGAAAAGGAGCTTTGAAGTTAGACAGGCCTGGGTTTAGATCCTAACTAGTTTTGTGACCTCTTTGATCCTCAGATTTCTTATTTTTAAAAAGTATTCTGCAAAAGTGTTTGTGAAAGTCAGAGATAAAGTCTTTAAAACGTCTAACACAAAATGTGTTCAGTGTCTATGTTTATTCAGGTATCTTCACCACTACATGTTGTTGCTTAGAGGAAGACTCATCTTTTGCCCCTATTCCTACAAAATTGAGCACAGTGCCCAGAACATAGTAGACACTTAGAACAAAAATTTTTTAAACAAGCAATAAAAAACAATAGCTAACATTTATGGAGCATTTACTTCAAGCCATGTATTACTATAAATAATTCATCTAATCCTCAACAACCCTAAAAAGGAGGTACTATTCTTAAATTTACAGAGGAAAAAACAGAATATATATTCTTCAGGATATTAACTTTTTTCCTTGGTACACCTAATATTAACATAAAAATCTAGTAAAACTCACTTTATTCTATGTTGTGGATAGGTGCTATCAAGTTGGTTCCAATGCATATGGACAATGTGCACAACAGAACGAAATACTGCCTGGTCCTGCACCAACCTCATAATTGTTGCTACGCTTAAGTCCATTGATGCTGCAACTGTGCCAACCCATCTCATTGAGGGGCTGTCTCTTTTTTGCTGACCCTCCAATTTAACAAGAATGATGTCCTTCTCCAGTGACTGGTCCTTCTTGATAATCTATCCAAATTATGAGAGACTAAGTCTGACCATCCTGGCTTCTAAGGAGCATTCAAGCTATACTTCTTCCAACACAGATTGGTTAGTTCTTTTGGCAGTCCATGGTACTTTTAATATTCTCCTCCAATACCATAACTAAATGCATCAATTCTTCTTTGATCTACCTTATTCATTGTCCAACTTTCATATACATGTAAGATTATTGAAAAGGTCATGGCTTGGGTCAGGCGCACCTGAGTCTTCAAACTGGCATCTTTGTTCTTCAACACTTCAAAGTTCAGAAGCTAAAGTCCTATAAATAATAAGGGACATTCACTTAGGTCCTAGGGAGCCTGTGGATGTAAGAGTGCAGGGTGAATAGTTGAGCAGAATCAAGAACCTTCAGTGGAGAAGAGAAGGGCAAAAGGTTGAGTTCTAAGAAAGATAGAAATGATGCTGAGAATCATCTGTTCCTCAAGAGAAGGTAGGGGTGGTTGGACTCTGTTGTGGTTGTTGTTAAGCGCCGTGAGTCGGTTCTGACTCACAGTGACCTAGTATAGGGTTTCTGAGGAGTGGTGGCTGGTGAGTTTGAACCGCCAATATTGTGGTTCAAACTGACTTTGCAATCCAGTGTTTTATACTACAGTGCCACACCAGGACTGGGTGAACTCTGGTGGTAGTGGTTATGTGCCATGGAGTCAGTTCCAACTCATAGCAACCCTGTACAGGGTTTCCTAGGCTATAAATCTTGATGGGAGAAGAAAGCCTCATCTTTCTCTCACGGAACAGTTGGTAGTTTCCAACTGCTGACCTTGAAGTGAGCCGCCCTATTCAAAACCACTAGGAAGGCCCATTAATAGACTATCTGGGAGAAGGCCCTGTAGCCTCAGAGCTCACCCTTTTCACACATCCAG